GCCGCTCGGCGCACTGCTTGGCCTTGTTGGCGATGGCGTGCGTCCTGGCGTGGAGCGGCTTGTTGGCGAGCAGCTTGGCCTTCGCCTTCTCGAGCCTGGCCCGCAGCTCGTCGGGCGGCGCCTTGGCCCAGCCCGCTGCCACGACCTTGAGCGCCTGGAGGCCCGACTCGCACTCCTTGACCTCGGCGGCCAGGGCCGCGTCGTCCTCGCCGGCGGCGGCGTCGTCGTCGACCGCCATGTCCTGGGCCCCCGCGAGCTGAGGGCCCCCGCCGCCAGCGCCACTGGCGCCCTTGATCTGCTCCTTGAGCTCCTGGAGCTCACGCTGCGCCTGCGCCAGCTGCACCGCGAGCGGGCCGCCGCCAGCCGCCCATGGCGGGACCTTGCCGCTCGCCGCCGCGGGCTGCTTGGCCGCCTTGCCGGGCTGGGGCAGCGGCACATTCGCCCCGAAGCACGCGTGCTTGGGCAGCCTGCACCCCTGGCACTTGAGCGCCGTCCCCCAGTTGACCACCGCCCGCCCGCGCTTGCTGACGCAAGACTTGCAGGTCCAGTCCTGGCGCACGGCCCCCTTGGCGCGCGGCCCGCCGCTCGCCATCCGATTGCCCGCGGTGGGGCCGAGACGAGATGGAGATGGGCGGCAGCTCGCCCCTGAGGATGCTGCGAGAAAACGAAAGCTTGCCGCGGAATGGCGGTATCCACTTGACTCACCCAGGAGTCTCGCATCCTGAGCCAAAATGACTACGGCGGAGGAGGAGGAGGAGGAGGTGGAGGAGGAGGAGCCGTTTCTCTTTTGTCCGGCGACCGCCCCCGCCCCCCCATTGGTCGGCAGGCTTCGCGGCTCAGCGGGGGCGCCCCAGAGGCGGCGGATCAGGACCTCCCCGCGCGCCCCGCTTTGGCGCCCCCACCCGCACCTGTGAGGAGGTGGAGTCAGGGGCAACCGCAGGGGGGGGGAATCGAGGTTTCAGGTTTTCGCGTATCTTCGTCGGTTCTCGGTGGTTTCCAGCCTTGGGGTGCTCTCCAGCAGCTGCGCCTCGCCGAGAGGCCTCCCGGGGTGCCCAGATCGCCCCGAACGGCCGCCAGAGGACCGAGGTATGGCCCGACCACACGGGAGCGGAGGGTCAGGGGCAACGTGAAGGGGGGTAATTCGGCCCAGGGCGGGGATACATGGATCCCGAATCGTCCATTTATCGTCCGTTGGGGCCCGATAGCCCCGCACCGCCCAGGAGCGTGCAGATTTGATATCGGGGGCCTATCGCCGATCTATCGGCGATGTATCGCTGATTCCAGCTCGATGTCTCCCCCTCTGAGCATCGTGCAGAGAAACCTATACATATCCGCTGCTCCCTGGCCAGGCCCATCCTGAACCCAGGAGCTGTGTATACGTCCTCCTGGCCAAGCCAGGAGGGCGTGGCGTATACACCGCTGCTGGGTTCAGGATGGGCCTGACCAGGGAGCAGTGGACATGTAGAGATTCGTCGCTCCTGAGCAGGTACCCTCCCAACGTTGCCCCTCGCGGATGCGGAGAGTTGCGCGGCGCTGGACCCCCCTGGCGGCGGCTCTGGCTCCGTCTCTGGCGCCCTGCGCGCGCCAGGGAAGGGGGACCAGCGCCGATCCAAGAAAGTCGCGCGGACCTACGACAGCTTATCTTTCTGCAGTTTGTTACTCCTCACCTCTTCCCTCCCCCCCCATCCCTCCTCCTCTTCCTCCTCTCAAGGCCTTCCAGGTGGGGCCTGGGCAGATAGGGTCGGAGGATCGCGCCGCATCGTCGATTCATCGGCGATACAGATCGACGTGGAGCCCGATTTTCCCCACGCCGACGTTGCTGGTGCATCGCCGAAGCCGCCGATGCATCGGCGATGCACTGGCCTTGCGACTCGATCCTCCGACCCCATTTGGGATACCTCCTTCCTGTTGCTTCTCCTTCTCCTCCTCCTCCTCCTCCTTCTCCTTCTCCCCCACACCCTCCCCTTTTCGTGGCCCCAATCGATTTGGATGGTGGCCTCACTGCGTATGGTTATCCGAGTGGTCCTCCTTCTCCCCCTTCCCCTCACGACAGTCAGAAGTGCAGATTTCCATCAGCAGTACGGTGCGCTACGCCACCAGCAAGTCTGGCTCTAAGTACTCGCTTCGCTGTCTTCGTGTAGCGCGTGATCGTCGGTTCTCGACTCGGGACGTCGCTGCCCCGCACCGACGTTCGCTTCTTCTCCTGCTGCTGCTCCTTCCCATCTTCCGTGAACTGACAGACGCCTCAGTGCATTGCATTCCCGTTGCCTCTGACCCTCCTCGCTGACCGCCGTTTACCCGTGTGCTAGTTGGGCTTTGTCCCAGGGTCGTTCCCAGCGTTGTGTGATCTATGCCGTTTCTCTGCTTTTCCAGCTGCTCCGATCTTGCTGTTACCCGGGTTCGGTGCGTCTTTCCATTTGTTCGAACATGATCTTTCTCCTCTTCCCTCCCTTTGCTCTTCCTGCTACTCCTGGACCCCTTGTAAAACTCCGAACCGCCTGGAACCATCAAACCAATTCAGATAGCCGCCTGAGACCCACCTCCTCCTCCTCCTTCTCCTTCTGTTTCTCCTCCTTCTCCTCCTGCTGCTGCTTCTCCTCCTCCTCCTCCTCCTCCACCCATGCTCTTCCTGGACCCTTTCCATAAACTAACTGAAGCCACGGGAACCTTCAATAACGATTTGGTGACCTCCGAAACCTCCCTCCTCCTCCTGCTCCAGCCCTGGAATCTGAATCCCCGTTCGCCTGGGAGTTCCCCGCAATCTAGGCGTGAACATCGTCTCGGGGATGCCTGGATGTTGCACCGTCTCTTTCGCATTGATCAGTGTGGCTCTGAAGAAAAAGACGCGCCCCCTCGGCCAAACGGGCGTTTGGCCTTGGGGGTCTCAGCAATCTGGGCGCGAACGGCCCCGTGAAGCACGCATGGTTGACCCCCCCCCTTAAAAGGCCCACGCACCATGCCTGCTACATCGCGGTGACCATACGGCTCTGAAGGGACGCGTCCACTGCGCTAAACGGGCTGTCGCTGATTCTCCTGGTCGACGCCCCCCTGGGAGGCAAAGCTGCAGCGCGGTGACCATGGGGCTCGGAAGCGGCAACTCGGCCTTGTGCACGAGGGGCCCCTGCAATCTGGGCGGGCATGGGCCCGCATAACACTCCTGGTCGACACTCCCTCGGGCGTCTCAGGTGCCATGCCTGCCACATCACGGTGACCGTGGTGCTCCGAGAAAAACACGCGGCGCACCGCCATAAGCGGGCCTTTCGCTTAGGAGGCTCCCGCAATCCGGGTGCGGGCGGGCCAGTTGAACACCCTTGGGCAAAATGCACCGGTGAGGTCTAAAAGCAGCGCTTGCCGCATGGCGGTGATCATGAGGCTCATAACAGACGTATCCAGACCTTTCATATGCCAGTTGCCTGGGTACCTAGCTGCCGGACTGTTGACTTGGGAAGACCGTCCAGAACTTCTAGATGCCAGGCCGTGCAGACCTTCTGGATGCCTAGATGCCAGGCCTGGATCCGCAGATGCCTGGATGCCAGACGACGGGAACAGACTCTTGATGATGCCCAGATGCCACACTTTGTATTTCTTTGTCGCGTTCATGTCTGTGGCTCTGGAAAAAAGACGCGTCCTCTGTCCAAACGGGCGTTTCGCCTGGCAGGCCCCCGCAATCTGGCCGCGAGCGGGCCCGTGAAACACTCCTGGTTGACCCTCTCTTGAAGGCCCACGCGCCACGCCTGCTTCTTCGCGGTGACCATAGGCCTCTGAATGGAGACACGTCCACTGCGCTAAGCGGGCTTTCGCTTGAGAGTCCCCCCGCAATCTGGTCGCGGCCGGGCCCGGGGAGCGCCCCTGGTCGACAATCCTTTGGGAGGCCCAAGGGCCATGCCTGCCACAGCGCGGTGGCCATGGGGCTCAAAAAGGGCCCGAAAGGTCCTTGCAATCTGGTCGCGAGCGGCCAGTCGAACACCCCTGGTCGAAGCGCACCTGTGAGGTCAAAATGCAGGGCTGGCCGCATGGCGGTGATCGTTCGGCTCTGAGCACAAGCGCGTCCACCAGCCTCAACGTGCTGGTCGCGAGCGGGTCAGGTGAACACCCCTGGTCGAAACGCACCTGTGAGGTCAAAATGCAGTGCTTGCCGCATGGCGGTGATCGTGCGGCTCTGAGCACAAGCGCGTCCACCGCCTCACACGGGCGTTTCGATTGAGAGGTCCCCGAAAGCTGGGCGCGAGCGGGCTCGTGAAGCACTCCGGGTCGGCCCTCTCCTGAAGGCCCACGCTCCACGCCTGCTTCTTCGCGGTGACCATGGGCCTCTGAATGGCGACGCGCCCACCGCCCTGAGCGGGCGTTTCGCCTGGGAGGTCCCCGCAATCTGGGCGCGAGCGGGCCCGTGGAACACCCCTGTCCGACACCCCTTTGAGATGCCCCCGTGCAATGCCTGCCACGCTGTGGAGATCATGGGGCTCCCACCCTCCCGAGGCGTGTGCAGCGATGCTCCGTGGTGCCGAGCCGGGCTCTTGTCCGACAGGGGGTTGCCCGCCCGCCTGCCCCGCCCCTCGCTCCTATACCCAGACCCTCGACGTCATGATTTTCTAATCCGGCCTGGACCCATTCCCCGGCACCAGATTTTCAGCTCGAGTAGTTTTTGGACGGTCCCGAGGGCCAGGGCCCCCAGAGGCCGAAACCAAAGAGAAACCTCCCGCCGCGTTTTTGTACCATGACTCGAAGGGGGCCGGGGTGCATGCCCTCCTCGCTCCGCTGCAGCCGATCTCGGCTCTGGCGATGTCCCGCGAGCGCTGCCGCCCACCGGGGCTTTCAGTCGCTCTCGCAGCCGCCGTGGGAGAGGCGTCCAGCGCCTCTGGCCGGCCCTCCCAGCGGGCAGACCGCGCCGCCGCCGCCGGGGGCGATGGCGAGGCGGCGCCTTCGTCGCCCCAGCTGGCGCCATGCGCCCCCGGCCACGGCCCCCAGCGAGCAGGTGCCGGCGCGCTGCAGGCCAGCCTTGCCCAGCGCTTCCGCCTGGCGCGCGAGCGCCCGCAGGCCGCCAGGGGGTCCGCCGACCCCTGCGGCAGGGCGCGGAGGGCCTCGCGGGTCTCCCGCCGCATGCCCCTCTTCACCATCCCCGAGTTCACTGGCGAGGACCAGGGCGAGGAGCACCCCTGGGTGGACGCCATGCTGCACGGCACGTGCTCGGCCGGGTCCGTGCTGACTGGGGGCCTGGTGCCAAGCGGCGAGCTGGGCAAGGCGCTGCAGACCGCCTTGGAGCCCGTCGCCGTAGCCTGCTCGGACACTGAGGGCCCTGCGCCGCATTCGCTCGTCAGCGCCAGCTGCGCGCTACTAGAAGGCGAGGGCGAGGGCCAGGACGGCGCGGGCGAGAGCGAGGGCGAGGGCGGCGCCAAGGAGCCCCCCCACTGCCCGAGCCGCAGCTTGATCCTGGACAGCTGCACGCCCCTGTACGAGGACTCCTGGGTCCCAGGCGTCGGCTACACGCAAGGGTGGCCCTTCGCCAGAGTGATCTTTGATGCGCCGCGCTTGGGGGGCGCGGGGTGGGTGGGCAGACCCGAGCACGCAGGCTGCCACTGCCGCACCGCACGCAACGAGCAGCAGGCCGCGCATTAAAGGCCACTCTTGCCCGAGGCTCCTCCCCAGAGCCCCGACGCCATGATTTTTTTCACAGCGTCGACCCCCAGAAGTGTCGACCCTGCCCTGGGACTGGCTTTTCATCCCGAGTCGTTCTTTGACGGTCCCAGGGCCCAGCGAGGGCCCCCAGACACCGAAGGTGGCATTCCCCCAGCAAAACACTAAGAGCAGCAGGGGTGAAGAGGCGGGTCGAGAAGTATGAGGTCGGCGAGTGAAAACGTTACAACATTCCTGGGTATTCGCAGAGATTCCTACATAGGCGTGACAGGGGTGAGAGAACGGCCATGTGCACCGTAGTGCATTTTCCATGGAATGTAGCCGTCTGACATGGGTGAGGGCACGGCCATGTGCTTCGTAGTGTAGATTCAAGTGGCGTGCGCCCTTCCGCCTACCCCCAGAAGGAGTCAGAGCTTGCGACGATTGTGGAAGTTATCTAGTGGCCTTCGGCCCAACCCGTCGCCGAGCCTGGGCTGTGGGTCAGGAGCCTCTTGGATGAATATGAGGGTCTCTTGGGATGCCTCTCTGGGGCCTCTTGGAGGGGTGTCTTGGAGGCCTCTTGGGGCCTCTTGGGGGCGCCTCAGGGGCCTCTGGGGGGCTCTTGGGTTCATCTTGGAGGGAGAGGCTCAACACATCAGTTCGTATTCCCCCCCTTGGGCTCTCTTAGGGGCGCTCTTGGGGCCAGCTTGGGGCTCTCTTGAGCCGTCTTGGGGGCCCCTGGGGCCATCTCAGGGCCCTCTGGGGCCGTCTTGGGGCCTTCTTGGGGGGCCTCATCGGCCGTCTCGTGAAGATCTTGGGGGCCCCTTGGGCAGTTTTAGAAGCTGTCAAGACGAACAAAAAGCGAGCTCGTGTCCCCTCCCCTCCAACGGCATTTGGGACCCCGGGAGGGGGGTAAAGGGGGAGGGGGACAGCCAAATGTCTCACACGCCTCTTCATCCCCGGTAAGCGGGGTTCGGCAGATTTTCCGAGGGATCGTGGCCGTGTGACAGGGGTGAGAGCATGCCATATGCACCGCAGTGCAGTTTTTACTAGGGATCGTGGCCGCCCGAACCAAGCATGTAGCTGGCAGGGAGAAGAGAGCACGATTTCCGAATGTGTTGCGAGGACGTCTCAGTCGCAACGGTTGCGGACACCGGCGTCCTTGGGCACCCGGTCCCCCCTGAGAGGCTCTTTTGTGGACCTTTTGAACCACCATCAGATCCCTGTAGTGAAACGCTTTGGAGCGACGCAGAAAACGGCTTCGGCTGTGCCGACGCTCGCGCGTAAGCTGCACGCGTAAGGTCGCGCGTGATCGTCTTCGTTTCCAGCTCAGCGTGCCGCGCTGGCAGCCCGCGTAAGCTGCTGCGAATAAGGTTGCTATGTCATCTCGCGCACGACCCGTTTCTGATCATCGCTCATTGAACCTTCCGTCTTTCACGACTCGAGTGGTCTGATCCCTGCGCGTAGCCGACAGGCGTCGTCCCGTCGGCTACGCGCACCAGCCTATCAAGAGCCCCTTCAGTGAAACGTTATCAGGAGCTGACAGGCACAGCCGACAGGCGTCGGCCGGAGCGTCCATAGCGAAACCCGCTGTCAGGGCCCGAAGGCCTCCCGTCGTGATTTCCGCGACGCGAGGGGTCTGACCCTGGCGCGCAGTCCACAGGCGTCGGCCCCGCGGCGTCGCGGCCGCGCCGCCCCGCTGGCAGCCAGCCTGGGACGCCGCCGCCGGCCAGCGGCGCGGCGCTGCCGCCGTGGGCGGTCAGCAGCCCGGCGCGGCTGCGGAGGGCCTGCTCCCTGAGGCTCGGCCACTACAATCGGCTTTGAAATCCGAACCCTGTCCTCGCCGATCAACGATTCAGGCAATTCGATGGGCAGCGTGAGCAGGGTTCGGAATGCGTCGAGCGCGTGGCGAAATCCGAACCCTACCCCCGCCTTCCATCGATTCACTAGAATCGATGGTTGGTGGGGGTTAGTGTGCGGATGTCGGCACCGATGCAAAGGGCGTGGTTACGCCGGGGTGTGGTTTACGATCTCCGTCGTTGGGGCAATTTGTTGGGTGGGTCTCCCAAGCTCTCCGCCGCCTCAAGCGGTGTGCGTTCAAAGCAGAAACGCAGCAGAGCCACAGGGAAACGTGGCATTGGCAGTGCAGCTCTGCATACGTTTCACATGATACAGCGAACAAGCACACAGCAAGGCCCAAGGACAGCTAGGCATTGACAGTGTGGCTCAGCATCGAGACAGTGGCCGGAGAGCCCCCGCGGCATGCCCACGAGCGGTTTGCGATCTGCGTCGTTGGGGAGTGGGAGGCACCACGTTGCCCTCGTCGGGCCTTCTCGGGGCGCGGCGGAGAAGTCTGTCGAGGTCCTCGCCCGCCTCCAAGGGTGCGTGTTGAGGGTTGCGTGGACGGGGCGCGAAGAGGCGATGGGCAGGCTGCTGGGGGGCTTGCCATTTACGCATACGATTGTGCTGGCCACGGACAGATGATGCTTCGGACGGGGCGGTGTCTTGGTATTTTGTGTGATTTGTTCATGGCTAAATCTTTAGCTTTGGAGTGGTCTCTCGATGTATGTACTACTCACGACCATCTTGGAGGATGGGGCACAGAGCGGGTAATGGGCAGGCAGGATGGGTGCTCGACGCCTTCTCCGCAGTTGAAAGAATTAATAAAGACATCCAGAAATACAAGGAAAGAAATTAAGGAAGAAAGAAATAAGCATACATAAAGCTATCCATAAAGAAGTAACGGAATACATCAACACATACATAAAGAAAGAACCGCCACACCCTCTGCAAGCCACACCCTTTGGAGTCGCCGAGAGAGGCAGAGGCCTCGCCCCGCCGAGCAGGGCGAGCAGGGCGGAGCGCAGGGCGGTGACTCTGGCGAGCATGGCGGCGCGCCCGCGGGCAGGGCGCCGCTGTCGCTGCTCGCCAGGCCCGAGGAGAGGGGACGAGGGAGGGAGCCTTGCCGAGGCCGCGAGCTCGATCCCTCTCGTGCCCTTGCCCCGGAGGAAGAGGAGGTGCATGCCGATGCCGCTGCGCTTCCCTCGTCGCCACGGCTGGATTCGCCTCGAAGTTCCGGGGCAGAGCGCGCCACGGGAGAGGCCCCGGGGGAGCAGCGGCATCCTTCTTGGCTCGCCCCTCTCCCGAGACGAGCCTGCACCGGGCCCGAGCTTTCGGAGCCTCGCGCGGCTGTCTTGGGTCGGCGCCGGACGCCCCCTGGCGGCGCCTCCGGCACCGCCCCGGGCGCGCTCCGCGCTCCCCTTGGGGGGGGGGGAGCGAGGGGAGGCCCGGCAGTCTCGCAGGCCAGCAGAGGGCACACCAGGGCCTTTCGAGCGTCCTCGCGTGGTCCGACGGCATCTGCGCGGACCTGCGAAGCTTCCCGTACTCCTGCTGTCTGTGGGCTTTCTCTTGGGAATCCGACGTCGAGGACAAAGCGTCCAGCATCGCGGGGAATTGCGACTGGAGCCAACGATGCCACTTTTCTGCCGCGCTCCTCGCGCCAGATCGATCCGTGAGGGCCCTGGGGCTGGAGACGAGGCGAACGTAACGAACATGCCCGGTGTGAAAGAATTGCGACGTGCGAGCCTCTTGGTTCCCAGACATACGCAGGCGGCCTGATAATTTCGAGACATGCGTACCTCTTGACCTCAATCGCATGCCAGTTTTTTCATCCCGAGCTGTGTTCTGACGGTCCTCGGACCAGAAACCGGCCTTGCGCGTACGCTTTCCGCGTAAGGTCGTGCGTAAGCGCCCTCTCTACGCAGCGTGCCACGCTTGCGGCCCGCGTAAGCCGCGGCGTACGGTCGACACGTCTTCTCGCGAAAGGCCAGCTTTTCGTCGCCCGAATGGAAAAACGCCGGCCATTGTCGACTTCTTTGAGCCCGCCCCTCGTCTACGGTCAGGAAAGTTGGCGTATCGCGTGTCGCGCCGCCAGTGTTGACCCACCACGCCTCGGCGCGACACGCTGCCCAAGGCCCAGGCCCCAAACGTCAACGTCCTGAGCCTTTCCCAGCCTCCCGCCCAGTAGAGTGGAGCGACATGCTGTCCGCTCCCAAGGGCATGGTGTGTCGCCGGGGCCGCCGCCGCGGCGCCAAGCAAAGGCTCCTGACCGCAGCTCCGTGACCGTGGCGAGGGGTCTCCCGTGAGGCGCGCGGCCGCCTACAGGGAGCCGCGGGCCGACATCGCCGCAGAGGGGCTGTCGCCAGAGCAGAGGCGCCGGAGCCTGCTGGAGCCGGGGGGCGCGGCGGGGCAGGCGGTCGGCGAGACCGAGCAGGCCGCCACCGCCAGAGCGTATCCACATCGGAGGTTTGCCTCGGCTGCGGACGTGTTCGGACGTTATCGTTCAGCTCCTGGAGGCTTTCCTGCCTCGGGGTGCTTCTGGCAGCTGTGCCTCGCCGAGGGCGTTCCGAGGCTGCCCTGACCGCCGAGCGCACGCTGGAGACCGGAGTCATGACGTGAAAGCTGGGGTCAGGGCCAACATCGATCCGACCGATCCGATCCGATACCGATTGCGGCCGACCGGGCTGGATTCGGGTCCGATGTTCCACTGGGTCTGGTGCGGCCCGATGCTTACGTGGCGCGGCCGATCCGATTCGGTTCCGCCTCCGTGCCGGTGCGGCCCGATTCGACGCGGCGCCGGCCGATCCCCCACCCGCTGCCTCGGAGTCGTGCCTTGGGATCTCAAGGTGGCCTCGGTGCGGGCATATGCCCGCCCCACGGGTCGGCGGCGCGCACAGGGGTGGCGGCGCGAGGGGGGGGCCCTTCTACAGGCATGCGGGCCTCTCAGCAGGCAGGGGCCTCCCTGGACGCGCGCAGAGGCTCCCGAGAAGCCTCCTCAGAAGCCACCCGGCGCCTCCCAGACGGCCCCCCCCCTGCCTCCTGAGAAGCCCCCCCCGCCTCTGAGGAGGCCTCCGCACCTGCTGAGGAGGCCCCCCCCCTCGCGCCACCCCCGCGTGCACGCGGGATGGGAGGCCCCCGCGCCCACCGCTCCCCAACGGGGGGGGGCCCGGGGCAGGGCTCTGGCAGCTGCGGGTGTGTGGATGTCTCCGCCCCGGCGGGGGGAGGCCAGCCTCAGCATCGCGATGGGCAAGACGCAGAGCGAGGTGGTCGCCTCCCCAAGTCGCGAGTCGATAGAGGCCTGGGGCAGCAGAAGCACAGCGTCGAATCTCAGGGTCATCGGGTCGAGGGGGGGGACGGGAGGGGGAGCGGGGTACATGATAATCTGCTGTGTGCAACTTGCAGCTGGTTTCGGCGCCGCCGCGGGCCGTTCTCCTCACGATGCATAGGCGCCCCCGGCGCTGGGAGGCGCTTCCCCATGTCGCGAGTCGATGGAGGCCTGGGGCAGGAGAAGCCCTGAGAGTCGAAGAAGAACAGGCTGCATAGACATAAACTTTTGGCGCTCCGCGCGGATTTCTTGGATCTGCCCTGGGCCCCTCTGGGCGGCGCCTTCGGCGCCGCCCCTGGCGCGCTCCGCGTGCCAGGGAGGGGGTTTCGGCGCGGATCCAAGAACTCCGCGCGGAGCGCAAAAAGATTCTGTCTATGCAGCCTTAGCTTTTTCTTTTTCTAGAGAGCCCCCGGCGTCGCAGTCCTTATGAGCTTGGCGTCTTCGCATAACTTCGGGCCCCGTGATCGATCCGGCTCGACGGGTGCAGCACAGAGATGGGGTCTGGGGCCGCAATCGTGATCCGTCACGATTCTGCATTATTCTTTCGCGTCGTCGGACCTGCGGGGATGCAGTCTGCCAGCAGATGCCCAAGGGCCCCGGGGACCCGCAGGAGTGCTGGGGCACCTTGGGAGGCTTCGGTGTGGGCGAATGCGCCCTTACCCCAGGTTGTTCAATAAGCGTGGGGGGGGGTGGATCATGTGGGTGTGTGGGAAGGGGCTGTCTTTTCCAGGGCGTTGGGGGGTTGGGTCGCTTGAGGGGCCGGGTTCGGCGGTCGTGGGGGGGCCAGAACGGGCCGTCAGTCGGGGTGGCATGGGGTGGTTGCGTTTTATGCCACCTGGAGTCGATTTCTTGTACCAAGATCCCCCACGGTGAATACCTGCCGTATGGAGGTGCGTGGCGGCTCTTCGGGCAAGATGCTGCAGCCAGTCTTCCCGCCAACTTCTGCATCAGCCCGGGCTTGTCCCGAGAGGGAGGGGTGCAGCACGGTGGGGCCGCTTGGAATGAGAACTCTGTCCGAGGGCGCGGCCTTCCTGCACACCTGATGCCGCCGAGGCGGCGAAGACGCACACCAGCGTGTGCCTCACGACAGGCCATCCAGCTGCCGCGAGACCCTGGGTGCCTGATGATGCGCTGGGCCCTGTCTGTGGGCCACGGGGGGCCTTCGGTCTTGTCTCCTGGCTTCGCTTCCCGCCGCTCAGCCCCACTCTCTGTAACAAACATTATCGCTGTGGGCGTGCACCCGCGCGGCTCTCACCGCCGTGGCGGGGGGGGGGCAGGACTGGGCCCAGGTCGAGTCTGATTACGGCCCGAGTGTCTCCCGAAGAGATCTGGCGATCCTCCGAACGTGTGTGCATGTGCAGTGTTTCGTTACTCGAAGGGAGCAGCGCTTCCCATCCCTGCCGCCCGGGATGGGAACAACGCTCACCTCGCGTTTGGGATCTCCACCGTTGGAGTGCTCTCTCCGTTTTGGGCATACCTGTGGGTTTTTTTGGTACCTCAGGCGAAGGGGCCCGTGCTCTTGACTCAAGCGTTTTTTGCGTCGGCGGCGCGCCCAGGCAGGACGGGCGGAGGAGGCGGGCCTTCTCAGAAGGCTCAGAAGGCCTCCAGTCTTCTGATCGGGTGTTGCTAGAAGTGCCCCTTGCCCAAGGTGCCCCCAGGATTTCGAAGGAGTCCCCCCGGGGCCTCCAGAGCACCCCTCACGAGGCTCAGAGGGCTCCGGGGTCTCCGGAGTTGAGCGAAACGCTGGGGGTACTTTGGGCCATGGGCACCTTCAGCAGCCCCCGATCTCAGACGATTTCTGAGCCTCTTCTCCGATGACACAGGGCCAGGGGGCTTGAGAGAGAGGCCCCGCCGCCTTCTGAGGAGGCCTGCCCCCTCAATGATCTTCGGGACGGTCCAGGCACCCCCCGAACACCCTCTGCGAGGCGCAGCTGCTGGAAAGCACCGCGAGGCCGGGAGACCGCCCAGAACCGCCGACACCGACCGACAACCTGAACCTCGAATCCAGAACTCCCGAATTTCCCCCCTCTGCGCGCCACCGATCATGCTTTTGACCCACGTTCTTGCGGCCATGTTCTTCAAAGAAGGATCACTTTGGGTCCGGGAGGGGCTCTGGTTTTCGTGCTGCTTCTTAGGTCTAGGTCGGGGGACCTATTCGTGGCCGTGGGTCTTCGTGGCCAGAAAGCCCTCTTTGTTCCTTGCGGTGAGGGCGTTGGATAAGACACCATTTGAGAAGGAATCCAGGGTCTGGAAGACGGCGGAACTCTCATGGTGGATTGGCCGTGGATGTCACCGCTGCCCTTGCCAGATGAGGAATCATCCAGGGTGTGAAGCCTCCTGGGCACATTCCTGAACCAATGCCCCCACCGTATACATCGACCCGCGTCGCGGCGGCGCGGAATGCCCGAGCCGCGGCGGTCCAGCGGCGCGGGTGTCGGCTACACGCAAGAGCGATCCTGGGCAGGCGTGATCTGGTGCGCGACTTGCCGATCGTTGCGTACGATGCGACTGCGTGCTCCGGCCTCAGGCAACCACGCGGGAACCCTCACGCTCGTCTTTGGGCGGGAGCCAATCTTAGTCAAGACGTTGGCGGATCGCCATATCCTGCGTATTCTACTTAGGGCCGCCACGAGGGTGCGAAGTTCGTCGCGTCTCGCGCTTCGCTGTCTGGGCGATTTCGGAGCGAGTCGCCAGTCCCTCGTCCTTCTCCGGGGGGGGGGGCAACGGGGGCGGCTCGGAGCCGCGAAGGTCATCGCGCGTCGCGCTCCGCAGAGCGCGGAGCGCGAAGCCAGTTGCCCTGGAGCTGCTGGCAGCACGACGGGCCGCAGGCGCTCCCCCCGCCCCCCTGGGGGCCCACCCGCCTCCAGGTGCGGAGGGTGCGCTCCGACCCCAGCGGGCTCCCCGCGCGGGTGCGCGCGCTGCAGAGGGCGCCGGACCGCTCCTCCGTGCTCGCCGGCGGCCTGGTGCACTCCAGCCCGGGGCCCGCGGAGCCTGCGCGGCGAAGTCATCGAGAATAACAGAGAGCCCACGACCGAAGTGAGGCGCTCCAGGAAACGGCCTTGCCGTCGGAGAATCAAGGGGTTGCCATTTCTTCCTCGGCGGAAGGGGGCGGAAGGTCGGCGGGAGTAAAACGGCGGCGGCTCCACCGGCGGAAGCTCGGCGGAAGGCGCCGGAAGTAAAAGATGCGCTCCCAAGAGATGAACACGATTTTGGGTTCAGGGTTTCCGGAATCGGCCAAATAACACACTGAAGACACAGCCTAACTTAGGCCCCCGTCTTCGCATCAGGGACAGTAGATCGGGGTGGTTTGGTTTGATACATCTTCAGGAAAGACCCCCTATCCCTAATGTTCCTATCTTTCCTAGCTTAATGATAGGTCTCCTCCCAAAGGGTTGGGGGTTCTTTTTTGGCTGATCGTGAAGTGCTCCCCCCGAGGGCGTTGACGACGCAGACATCCAGCGTCTTGACACGAATCCAGGCGGAGGCTGCTTGCCGTTTTCGGCTTCGGGGGGCCCTCGCCGGGCCACAGGGGGCGTCAAGAGACAGCCTCCGGGTGAAAAGCCAGCCCCTGGGAGAGGATCGGGTCTTCTGGGGACCCCGTCTTGAAAAGGTCAAGACATCGGACCTCGGATGAGGAGGAGGAGGAGGAGGAGGAGGAGGAGGAGGAGGAGGAGGAGGAGGGGGAGCAGGAGTAGGAGTAGGAGGGGGAGGAGTTCAAGGATCCCGTTTCGGCGGCGCCACAGCTTCCGGGTGAGGGGGCAGGATTACTTTGCCGTGCAGGGTCCGCAGCCCCGCCGTCCTGGACCACGGACTGGTCGCCCCCGAGGGGAAGCTCGGACACCGACCCCGTGGGACGCTCCGACCCGCCTCTCGGCGCCGTCCAGAAACATTTTGCCGAGCCAGCGCTTTTCGGGTGGGTCACGCCGAGGCGGGGCGCATCTTCAGCACGGTCTGGCCGATCCCAGTCCCCGCTGGGCCATGGCATCTCGGCCCCAGCAGGCCACCCCTCCGGGGTGGGCATGGGTCCCGCGACACCCGAAGGGAACGGCATGTCCCCACCCAGAGGGGTACGGTCAGGAGCTTCGGCACAGCGTGTCGCTGCGCGGTTCTGGCCCACCACGCTTCGGGGCGACACGCTATCCACATCCCCATTCCTAAGCGTCAGCGTCTCGAGTTTTTCCCGACCTCCCGCCCCGCAGAGCGGAGCGACACGCTATGCGCTATGCGCTCGCAGGGCACAGCGTGTCGCCGAGGCTGCCGCCGCGACACGCAAATTTCCTGACCACCTCCCAGGCGGGCAAGCTGACTTTTGGAGCCAACGCCATGTCAGTGGATCACCACTCACCGAACCATCCCAACCCGACCCGAACGCCAATTTGCCCTCCTTTTCCAGTGTGTGTGTGTGTGTGGTGGTGGGGGGGCGTCGGGTAACGTTGACAAGAACACATCTGGAACCCGCATCCTCCGCCCCCCCAACCCGAACTTTGGGTCTTCGGTGGTCGGGTTGGGGTGGTCTGGCAGGTAGTCAGTGGGGATGGGGATGACCTGCATTGAACCCGTATAGTAAGGATGAACAACTTTCCAAGGTTACCCTTGCATCCTCCTCCTTCGGCCCATCCTTGGCCGCTTTCGCTGGCCGCGGCCCGCTCGCAAAGTGTCGACAGAGCCTTCCGAGGACCTTGCATCCTCATCGTGCGGCCTTATTGTACGGGTTGACTGTGCGTAGGTATCGAAATCCTTCAGAAACATGCTTCGAGTGTGCGAGAGACACGCCCGAAGGGCTTCCTACACCACGAGACTATGCAGGCAGCCACCGGGCGGTACAGAGGAGTGGGCTCCCGTGCCCCTCCGCCAGGGGTCGCTCGCCCTGCCGAGACGTCGGGCGTGCCAGTTGTTTTGAGACACGGGCCCCCGACCTCTCGAGCACTTCTCCATGGCCGGGTTCTCAGCCCGAGCCGTTTTTTGTGCGGGAAAAAACTGAATCACTTAAGTCGGTTTCGCGGGTCTGGGAAATTTAGCAAATTTCTCCGCGGCCAGCGCGGGTCTACAACATTCCGCAAATTGCTCTGCGCTTTGCAACGCGAGGTCGCGGAGCCTGCTCGCGCTCTGCCACGCGCCAGGAAGAGGAGCGCGAGTCCGCTGAGTCCGCACAGCGCGCAGGTAAATTTTAATCGCCGCGTAATGTTCGCAGATTCCGCGATCTCGCGACCGCTGCAAGAGCTGGCCGCGCTCCGCCACGCGCGAGGAAGAGAATGGCGAGGCCGCGGAGCCCGCAAAGCGCACACGTAAATTTACGCGCCGCGTGAATTTCGCAAATCTTGAGAATCCCGCGGCCTCGCGACCGTTGCAGGAGCTGCTCGTGCTCTGCCACGCGCTAAGAAGAGGAGCGCGAGGCCGCGGAGCCCGCAAAGCGCGCGCGTAAATTTACGTGCCGCGTGAATTTCGCAAATTCCGCACATTCCGCGATCTCGCGACCGCTGCAGGAGCTGCTCGCGCTCTGCCACGCGCTAAGAAAAAGAGCGCGAGACCGCGGAGCCCGCAAACTGCGCACGTAAGTTTACGCGTCGCGCACATGTTGAACATTTCGCGGATTTCGCGGCCTCGTTGCCGCTGCAGGAGCTGCTCGCGCTCTGCCACGCGCTGCTCCAAAGTTACGCGCTGCCCAGGGCATCGCAGCAAGGCCGCGGAGCCCGCAAAGCGCGCGCGCAAATTTATGCGCCACTTTTTTATTATCCTTTTTTGTTGTACATTTGGCAGATTCCGCGGTCTCGCGACCGCAGCAGAAGCTGCTCGCGCTCTGCCACGCGCCAGGAAGAGGAGCGCGAGGCCGCAGAGCTACCAAAGCGCGCGCGCGTAAATTTACGCGCCGCTTAAATTTCGCAAATGTTGCAGAATCCGCGGTCTCGCGGCCGCTGCAGGAGCTGCTCGCGCTCTGCCAGGCGCCAAGAAGAGAATCGCGAGGCCGCGGGGCCCGCAAAGCGCGCGCGTGTAAATGTATGCGCCGCGTGTATTCCGCAAATGTATCAGATTTCGCTGCTTCGCGGCCGCTTCAGGAGCTGCTCGCTTTCTGCCGCGCGCTACGAAGAGGAGCGCGAGACCGCGGAGCCCGCAAAGCGCGCGCGTAAATTTACGCGCCGCGTGAATTTCGTAAATTTCGCAGGTCCCGCCGCCTCGCGACCACTGCCGGAGCTGCTCGCGCTCTGCCACGCGCCACGAAGAGAAGCGCAAGACCGCTGAGTCCGCAAAGCGCGCACATAAATTTGCGCGCCGCGTGAATTTTGTAAACTTTGCAGATTCCGCGATCTCGCGACCGCTGCAGGAGCTGCCGGCGCTCTGCCGCGCGCTAAGAAGAGGAGCGCGAGGCCGCGGGGCCCGCGCAGCGCGCGCGTGAGTGCACGCGCTGCGTAGATTTCGCAAAGGTTGCAGATGTCGTGGCCCCGCGGCCGCTGCAGGAGCTGCTCGCTCTCTGCCGCGCGCCGCCCCAAATTGACGCGCTGCCCAGGGCGTCGCAGCAAGGGCGCGGGGCCCGCAATGCGCGCGTAAGTTTACGCGCCGCGTGCATTCCGCAAGTTTTGCAGATTACGCGACCTCGCGACCGCTGCAGGAGCTGCTCGCGCTCTGCCGCGCGCTAGGAAGGGTAGCGCGAAGCCGCGGAGCTCGCGAAGCGCGCGAGTCAATTTGCGCGCTGCGCAAGTTTCGTAAACCTTGTTGATCCCGCGATCTCGCGACCGATGCAGGAGCTTCTCGTGCCCTGCCACGCGCTAAGAAGAGGAGCGCGGGGCCGCGGATCCCGCAAAGCGCGCGTGAATCTACGCGCCGCGTAGATTTTGTAACTATCGGAGATTCCGCGGCTTCGCGGCCGCTTCAGGAACTGCTCGCGCTCTGCCGCGCACAGCCAACAGGAGCGCGAGGCCGCGGAGCCTGCAGAGCTCGTGGAAGTGTACGCGCCGCGTACATTTCGTAAAGTTCGCAGATGTCGTGGCCTCGCGGCCGCTGCAGGAGCCGCTCGCTCGCTGCCTCGCGCCGCGGAGAAGAGCGCGAGACCGCTGAGTCCGCAAATCGCTCGCATAGATTAGCGCTCCGTTTTTTTTGTTGTTTGTGTGTGTGTGTCTTTTTGTTGGTTCTTTTTTTGCGGCCGCTTCAGGAGCTGCTCGCGCTCTGCCGCGCGCAGCCAGCAGGGGCGCGAGGCCGCGGGGCCTGCAGAGCTCGTGTAAGTGCACGCGCCGCGTCACTTTCGTAAATTTCGCATATGTCGTAGCCTTATGGCCGCTGCAGGAGCGCTCTGCCGCGCGCCGCTCCAAATTGACGCGCTGCCCTGGGCGTCGCAGCAAGGGCGCGGCGCCCGCGATGCGCGCGCAAATTTACGCGCCGCGCGAATTTCGCACACTTTGCAGTTCCCGCGATCTCGCGACCGCTGCAGGAGCTGCTCGCGCTCCGCCACGCGCTAGGAGGAGGAGCGCGAGGCCGCGGAGCCCGCAGAGCGCGCGCGTACATTTACGCGCCACGTAGATTTTGTAACTATCGCAGATTCCGCGGCTTCGCGGCCGCTTCAGGAGTTGCTCGTGCCCTGCCACGCGCTGCGAAGAGGAGCGCGAGACCTCGGGGCCCGCAAAACGCGCGCGCGTACATTTACGCGCCACGTATAGTTAGAAACATCCAGCATGTGCCACGGCCCCGCGACCGCTGCAGGAGCTGCTCGCGCTCTGTCACGCGCCGCGGAGAAGAGCGCGAGACCGCTAAGCCCGCAGAGCGCGCGCATGAATTCGCGCGCCACGTGCATTTTGTAAATTTCACGGGTTGTCAACCTCGCGACCGCTGCAGGAGCTGCCCGCGCTCTGCCGCGCGCTGCGAAGGGGGGCGGGGGGGGGGGCCCGGAGCCCGCAATGCGCGCGCGTAAGTTGCGCACCGCGTGCATTTCGCACGTTTCGCGGGTCCTGCTGCCTCGCGACCGCGCCAGGAAATGCTCGTGCTCTGCCACGCGCTCCGGCGAGGACCGCAAGACCGCTGAGTC